TCCGAACAAATTCTTTCATAATTTTCTTCCCTCTTCCCAAGAAGATGATAGTGAATCTCTTTCCTCTAAAGGAAAAGAGAAATTATTAACGAAAATTGATAAGAAGGGAAAACGCAAAGGTAACAAAATACCAATATATTTCGATAATAGGAATTCGCGGACATCCTTTCACTGATCTGCCTTAGCAAGCAATCAATCTCTATGAAAAAAGTGAGATTCTACGCGCGTTGTGCTTGGTCAAATACCTGTCTTGTTTTTGTTCCGCTCAACCCAAAGAGAACTGAGACCTTACCTCATGGTTTTTTTTTATAGTATCTCTATTCGGCGGAACCTGTATTAAGCGGTAATTCCACGCTTAATACAGGTTTGACTATAACTGTACTCTATACATCTCTACTCTTCTGTAGAATAATGAACGTTTTTTTCCTTATTTTGAACAGATTGGAGGATTTTCACATGCGATAGTAGCAATGATTATTCTTCAGATTTTGTTATAAGTCATAGAAATTAAGCACGCTGTGCCTTAGAAATTAGAACTGTTTACTCTTTAAATTTTAATCAAGATTACATGCGCTCCAAGTCAGTTGAAACAAAGTGACTGAAGAACAAAAGCACAGCCCCGTTTCATTACCTGAACAATATAAATTATTCATGCAAAGTGGGAGTTTACTCGGTTTAATTAACATTTCAATTCGAAGTTTTACCTGCCAGGTGAGACATTAAAAACTGATGATATGACAAAATAAATTAACTTACTGGAGGCTTAGAGGCCCTATCCATTTGAAGATGATAAAATCATATTTGAGTGCAAAGAAAAAAAAAAATGAAAAGAAAATGACGACAAGGTGTACATTTTCCATAAGAATTACTTTGAAGCGATTTTGATGAAACGATATTAGAAGTATCAGTTTAAATCATTTAAAAGAAACATTCTCATCTTCCAAAAGAGGTGGGAAACGTCTTTTATATTGCGCTTTTCAAAGTGCATTTCCAACTTGGTGGTTTTTAAAGAAAGGTTTTGGAAGGATACGAGCAATTATTTTAACATGTAATCCGGTACAGGTGATGATGCAATGGATCCAAAAACTTCATCTTGCGAGAAAACTGTTGGCCTGCAGATAAGCTGGAAAATGTATTACTTGTTTGCAATGACACTCCTTCATCTATAATACCAGTGATATTTGTTTTAAGACGGTATAAGTTCACCTCTCTATATCAGTTTTGCGAGCTTTCCTGCCTCAAATACTTTCAAAACGATATCACAAAAGATTAAAACTTACCTTTTGCTAATAGCTGCGAAGTAACCCTTTAAAAGAGCCCCTGCACCGTTCAAAACATGTTTCTTGTCAGGCCGTATTTGAACCCTTCAGTGTGGTCTTCTTAATTCTTTTCTTCTACAAAATTTTATCAGACGTCTTCTTCTCAAGAGATTTTCCCTTCTCTTCGCCAGTAAAGTATATATAATCTTAGTTCTCAATAGTAACAATTGTGATAAGCATGTAGCCGCTATCCGCGTAACGGATTTTTGCTAAAAGAAACTTAATAAACCTCGCAATGTGGTGCCTCTAAGTCAAAAATGAAATATTAATGTTGCTGTCACTTCTTGACAAGATGCCAATTGATTTGAAGGAACACATTGCTTTCTCCCACTTTGTTTGCTTAGAGTTCAGCATTGAGACAAACCAGATAAGATTAAATTACGATAACCTTTCTCGATAGCCATAACATTTTTTAACACATCCTTTATAGAATAACAAGCGTCTTATACTCTCAGCAATTATCGAAATCTCCACTATTTTTTTGTGCTTTTTCGCATCTGAAAAAATTAACTGTTTTCTATTGACCGAAACTAATAATATAAACAATAAAAAAAAAAACCAAACACGCACGCAGCAAGTCAAAGAAGTTAAAGTTTTGTAGGGCCAGTGTAAACTCAAGGAAAAATTTTTTGATGTTTTCTTTTTTATTCTTTTTATTTTGTAAATGTGTACAGTTTTGTAACCAAATGGATGTTTCCTAAAATTATCTCAGATTGGTCCCTTACCTTTTTGATGAAATGTCAAGTATAGCGAATCTTCGTCCAATAACAGTGGAGGATTTATGATTAAAATAATAATAAAAAAAAAAACCATATTTGCTTTAAGTTAGCAAGTAATCAAAATATTGCTCTTTTAATCAATACGAATCAGGACAACAGTGCTTATAATGTACACGAAAATAAATGAGGACCCATGAGTATTGAAATTATTTAATTGAAAGCAAAGGAAACGTCTAATCCCACAGCTAGCGTTTGTCTACTTATCATTAAGAAATAAAAGAAAATGTATGCGATCACTCTTACTTAGTTCAAAAACACACTTTGGAGAGTGGATTTTCATTTCAAACAATAATATTCCGAGTGAAAAACCAACATTATTGGACACCTTAAAAAAACACTGTCGGCAGTCTAACACTTACTTTGGCGTGTTTCCACGCTCCATTGTCGGTTTTGGATATGTTAATAAATATGTGTTCTGGGAATCAAGTTAGAAGTTGGAGGGTAGCCACTAAATATGTAGCTAGTCTTCGCACCGCTTGGTCTAACAGACTTATCTTTGCTCCAAAGAAGGCTTAGTATATGAAGTCTCGAGGGAACAATGTTTGAATTTGTTCCGGACTCCAACGACAATTATTCTTGAAGTAACCCGCTTAACGTTGAAGAATATTGTTATATGTGAACTGAATCTGACACATTCATTTCCTCCTTAGACAAATTCACATTTGGAAATTAAAGAAGAAAAAGGAAAATTACAATAAAATGCTTTTAAGTTGAACTTTGTGGTTGTAGAGAAATTTGTTTTGGAAACAGGAAGTCTTCCTCAGAATCAGATTTCAGTTTCTCGTCTATTATTGAGAACATCGTTTATTTCTAACCTTTTAACAAACGGCAAATACATGATTATAATAGTACTAGTTATAAATATTTAAATAGCGCTTGACACAAATATCCGTGCTTCCCGTATAAACCTTGATATGTCTTTAGTACTTTGAAGGTGCGGATGATTTACTCAAACAACTGTCAACTGTCCTTTTTCAAAGGACAGCGAAGTTGTTGCTAATGAATTCAATAATTTTTTTTGCATCCGTGGGCAAGAACACGGCCGAGAAAGTCAATTCAATGGCAGAGCAATTCAAGTATGACATTAATGACAATAGCAACGTCTTTGTCCCTAAAGAATATCCGGAGTTAGAACAATTTTCATTTAACGATTGTGTGAGTTGTGATCAAGTGGAACGTGTTATTTCCTCTATGTCATCAAATAAAGCTCCTGGAATCGACAAAATTCCCATGTATGTTATCAAAGATTGCCTACCATCCATACTGCCATCAGTCACTTCAATTGTTAATGCCACATTCAAATCATCTCAGTTTCCGATCGACTGGAAAAAAGCTGAAGTTGTTCCTATTTTAAAGGACGGTGACCCAGAAATTCCAAGTATAAATCGGCCTATCTCGCTTTTGCCAATACTATCTAAAGTTTGCGAGAGGGTTGCCCATGACCAACTCACCTCATATTTGTCGATTAATCAACGACTGAGCAATATCTAACTTGGTCCTTGCAAAAAGGTCCCTGTTTACGGCAAAATACAGCATGAAAAACTGACCAATTATGAAGCGTTTATTACCATGGTTTTTTAACAGATTCTCACTAGCTTTGTGGTACGGGATACATAGGATGGTTACGTAAGGGCAAATATGTTATGAATTGGATTTGTGGTTCAAATCACATGATTACGTAAGGGCAGACGTTATGACAGCTGCTGCGTGTCAAAGCAAGATACCATCAAGTTTACAGAGTTTCATTTCATTTTGCTGTCTCCTATAACTGATGCTGAAACCTTAGGCTTGCATCCAATCTCATTGCTAAAAATGATACATGATATCCATTTTTCCAATTGCTTTTCTATTTCAATTTCGTAATAAAATTTTAACGTATTGAAAGTGGTGACTAGCCACGATCACACTGATACAGCACATTTCAACTGAGTGTCGAAAAACTAAAACCAAAGTAATCCCAGCGACCAATCAGAACAAAGGTTTATATTATCATTAGCCAATGAGAACTCGAAGTGCAAACAAACAAACAAACCGCTTGAAGCGCGGGAAAACGAGAATGACAAAGTTGCAATTGTTTTTTTAGTTTTGCATCGATCTGATTGGTGGAGAGAATGGCGCGAGTTTAAGAACCAATGACAGAGCAAAGTTGTGTGAAACCAAAGCAATTCCCCGGATTACTTTTAGTCCTTTATTGATAAGTTAATTACGCTATGAATACTCGTTGGAAATGTCAGAAACAAAGGAAAAAAATAAATGTTTCGTTATATAAAGCGTTAACTAGATAAAGAAATTGGTGCTCTGCATCTGCGGCAGGTTTTTCAAGGACTTTGAGATCCTTTGAAATGATGTTCACTGGTTAATCTACATATTTTACACTCCAAAGAGTGGGCTTTTTTTAATTAAAAAATTACAAAGAAATTGCATGGTACGAGATTTGGCTGTAGTGATTCAGAATTTTATGCTAACAGTTTTCAGTTCGGTATAGAAATCTATGGAGTAAGCCCCTCCGGTTCGTCCCAGTCCACTCTGCTTCCAGGATTCGTGAGGCATGTTAGGTTCGTTTGGAAGCCAGCTGTTAATCCATACAGAGCTACAAAATCAGAATTCAAGTAAGTTCACACTGTGAAATAGCAGAATTAGGCGTACAGCGGCAAGTACATTCTTTCTACAGCATAAGCAACTATACATGCAATCCACCTCTCCTTCGTTGTTTTCTTTGTTTGTTTTTTGTTTGTTTTGTTTTGTATTTACTGCTACCTTTTAAAATGTTCTCATTAAAGGGAATGCTGATCCTGCTCAAGTAGTCTTGCTCGCATCCGTCTTAAGCATGTCACGTGACACTCTCTCTAAATTCAAGACAGTTACGCGACAACCCAATAACCGCTGCGAAGGAGATCTAGTTTGAATGCGACTTGTTTTCAAATTTCTGGTAATTGGTAAGTTCTGTCCTACGATGATGTTTTTATAGGACCACAAAATTGCAAACCTAAAAATCCTTTGGTGAAATGTCTTTGGGAATGTATAATTGCTTTCCTCTAAGCATTTAACTACTTTTTTGCATGACTTCAGAATGATCGATAGTTCGCTTTTGATATCTTACATATTGTGATAATTCAAAATCTATTTACCGCTGGTGGTGGGTCCTTTTGAGGATTTTCAACGCAAAAAATGATAAAAGTAACAAAGGGAAAAAAATGGACAGTTATGTGAATTGAAAAACTCCTATAGAAAATCATAGCGTTAGTGCGTAAGTAAGGTGTTCACTAACGTAAACGTGCCTCTACGGAGCCACCTTACTAAAGATAAAAAAATTTCTGACTGTGGCTTCACAACTCACCGAAGATAACGACAAGGGACAAATCAAAGATGAGAGGCGTAATGATGATAAGAAAAGATAAAAGAAAACATCAATTTGCCGAATATTATCTCTCAGTAAAAGCCTTACCCAACATTTAGCTGGTCTGCAATTTTGTGAGCCACTTTAACATCTTTGCACCAGACAGAGGCTGATAAACCGTACATTGTGCCGTTTGCTGCTTCTATAGCCTCGTTTGCGTTACGAAACGGTATAATTCTTACCTAAAAGACAAAACGAGCTGTTTATACTTCATTCCAGACGAAACATCAGAGAGGATACAAGAAAGCGGAGACAGAGAGTTGCTAAACTTATGAAAAGCTAAGGCAAACTGAAAAGGAAATAAAAGCACTTAAGAGAGTTTTGTGTGTTGTTGTGTTTGTGAAACAACTGCTATCTGTCTCTTTATGTTTCACAGAGAAATCAAAACTGTCTTTTGAAAGGAAATATGAGGAGTATTTGCTCAAATTACTTTGCTGAAACTTGCGTCTCAGGAGTTGGGTTTCAAAGGTATTGCTTACATAGATGCTGCAGAGGACACACTGTAATCTAACTAATGACAACAGTTGCGTCAGCTTTACTGTTGACATTGATGCAAATATATATATTTTTTCTCATGAATATTCATCCTAGATTATCGCAGGAGATTCTACCTACTTCTCGTCGAGATCATCCTCGGAGACCCAGGGGCTGAGTCGATTTCAAGTTAGGGCATGAAGAGCCCCTGGGGACATTGTCTTACAAGACTAGTTCCAAACGGTCGCAGTCGTTCTGCCATCTGATTGGTGACAGAAAATCTTTGTGTTTTTCTGCCCAATCAGAGTGAAGTGTGCTGTAGAGTCCTTTCGTGTGTTTTAACACGGACAAATACTAGTAGCTCGCTATTTTTCTTTGGACCGTGCGACGGAGATTTGCTTGAGGTGAAAAGTTTCAGTCTCAGCACACAATGTAAGAGAAATCGATCTGATTGTCCGTGAAAATCTCACCGGAAATTACTTTCGCAGGTATCCCTAGAGAACGTGTTTTAAGTTTGCGAGGTTTGTATACAACACGATGGTTGCAGTCATTGATATGTCGCTTTAAACGTTAAAACGAGATTTAAGCTTAAATCTTTTCAGATTTTTTGCATAATTTGCTGTGACTTAGACTTTGCCAATCCTGCGAAGTTATTTCGTCGCACGGGCCACGCAGGTATGTCGAGCAACTGGTACATGCGCAACTTTCTGTGCGTGCCAAAATCTAATCTCATCTTCGCTTGAAAAAAAANGTGGAAACTTTTGCTTATTAGATGTGGGTAGATGACCCTGTACTACTAAGCTGACATTTGCAATAAAGCAAATCCGCCCTTTCCATCCAATATTTCTTGGTCTTTGGTTTTGTTTTTCACATTGAAAACAGCATCGGATCGATTCCCAACTTGGTCTTCGACAATCGACAGAAGAGGTGAAATGACAAGGACCAAGGGACTAGAAGAGAATCCGTACCCTTCCTAGCTCAAGAATTTCAACACTCTAGACAGCAGTTGAAAGACTAAACTCTTTCCAAGCCCCTTCGGTAACTACCCAAAAACATCTCTCCTTCCCACGATGTTCTCGTTAATAAGTTTTTGTTCAGATTTTAATTAGCTAACCGGAAACACAGCTAAGCTTTCTCTTAGCACTTGCTGGAGATCGTCCACGAACTTAACGTTCTCTGCAACCTTGGCCGTATTGTGAACGACTTTACTACTAAGATTAGATTTTGGCGCACACAGAAAGCAGAAAGTTACGTAGGCGAAAGCACCAGTTGCTCGACATACCTGCGTGGCCCGTGCGACGAAATAACTTCATGGGATTGGCAAAGTTTCAGTCACAGCAAATTATGCAAAAATCTAGAAAGATTTAAGCTTAAATCTCGTTTAACGTTTAAAGCGACATATCAATGACTGCAACCACGTGTTGTCTACAAACCTCGCAAACTTTAAAACACGTTCTCTAGGGATACCTGCGAAAGTATTCAGTATAGTTTCCAGTAAGATTTTCGCGGACAATCTGATCGATTTCTCTTACATTAATATTTTGTGCTGAGACTGAAACTTTTCACCTCAAGCAAATCTCCGTCGCACCGTCCAAAGAAACATAGCGAGCAACTGAGCTACTAGTATTTGCCCGTGTTAAAACACACGAAAGGACTCTAAAGCACACTTCACTCTGATTGGGCAGAAAAACACAAAGATTTTCTGGCACCAATCAGATGGCAAAACTACTGCGACCGTTTGGAACTAGTCCCCAGGGGCTCTTCATGCCCTAACTTGAAATCGACCCACAGCCCCTGGGTCTCCGAGGATGCGTCGAGATATAAGATTATAACATATCATTTAGGTGGACAATCCTTCCCTATCTGAACGAAAGACAATAACAGGAGTATTTACCACAGGTCCTTGAACCTCTAAGGTGTTTATGGTATTGATGGTTGAACTTTGGAAACCTGCAAGTAGACATCAAATGTTATGGTGTTAGTAGGAATTTAAAAACATTGTTATAATCTTGAATGATTCACTTGTAGCTTTTAGTGCTGACCTCCAAGTATCGTGGGCTCCAAGAAGAAACCTTTGCCTAACTTGCTGTCAAGTTTTGGAATTTTTCCGCCCCATAGAAGCTCTGCTCCATCGTTTACTGCACCTTGAATAAGACCTATGATCCTTTGGCGATGGTCCTTGCTGATTAAAGGACCAACCTAATGCAAATGATAAATTTAAACGACGTAAGGTGAAGATTAAACATTTTTGCAACTTGATGAAGTTAAAACTAAAATTTTTTTTTGAATCGTTTCCGGGATTTTCCGAGGTTAAAATATCTTTAAAACCGACGTTTCGACCACTCTATCGGCCGAAAAACGGATGGGAAAAGAAGATGGAGGCCTAGCACGACACACCGTGGAGTGCCAAAGTGGTGTCGACTGGGGAAACGCAGAGATCGTAGCAAACAGAGAGAGGATAAAGCAAAGAAAAGTTCTAGAAGGAATTGAGTCACTACGACAGAAACATCGCGGAATGGGAGTCCTTAACAATTTTGACCACGTTGAAGCATGGAAACCAGTTCTAAACTCCTTCTTTGATCATGCAAAAAGACTGTAATAGAGAGTGAATTATCGCAAAAGTAGAAGTACTTGACAGACCTCAAACTACATTTTCCGCGCAATTTGACATAGTTTAAACGTCGTGTAATGATCACGAAACGTCACGTGCGGTCACCAAGCTGAAAGACTAAACAATCCGCCATATTGACAACATGTGCGGTCACCAAGCTGAAAGACTAAACAATCCGCCATATTGACAACATGTGCGGTCACCAAGCTGAAAGACTAAACAATCCGCCATATTGACAACATGTGCGGTCACCAAGCTGAAAGACTAAACAATCCGCCATATTGACAACATGTGCGGTCACCAAGCTGAAAGACTAAACAATCCGCCATATTGACAACATGTGCGGTCACCAAGCTGAAAGACTAAACAATCCGCCATATTGACAACATGTGCGGTCACCAAGCTGAAAGACTAAACAATCCGCCATATTGACAACATGTGCGGTCACCAAGCTGAAAGACTAAACAATCCGCCATATTGACAACATGTGCGGTCACCAAGCTAAAAGACTAAACAATCCGCCATAAA